CCAAAAATATTAAATATTTATTTTTTATTTTTTATATTATACTAAAAATTAATTTTACATTCAAAACATCACATCAATCCATATTTATTTCACATAATATAACTATTTCAATTCAAATTTTTACTATTCAAATCTCAATCTAAAATCCAAACCCCCAAACAAACACACCCTAATTAGTTCAAAACTCTCTATCTATCTTCAGCAAATTATATGTTGTACTCTATAAATATATTTAGTTTGCTTAAATTAATAATAATCTCTTCATTCAAACTCAAAATATTATTTTTACTATTTTTGTGTGTATCACTGAAAAATATTTATTTTTTATTTTAGTAAAGTAATTATACATTAATACTAAAATTCACTACTTTTACTTAAATTACAATTGTATAATTACATGTACAATTATTTTATATATAAAGTTCAAGATCAAAATTGTTAAAATCTATTATACATTTCTATTACCAAATACTTCCCTCGTCCACACACAAAGTAAACATTTACTTTTGGCGCGATATTTAAGAAATAATAATATTTTAATTATAGCGGGTAGTTAAAAGTAGTAAAATGACATTTTTGCCTTTACTTTTTGGTGTAAAAGTAATAATGTGATGTAAAGTAATGGTATTTGTAGAAAAAAATGAGATATTTAATGAAATATTTACTTTGTAATTGGACGTCCCAAAATAGAAATATGCATACTTTCTATCTGGACGGAGGGAGTAAAATACTACCCCCTCCGTCATGCAAATGTATGCTCATTTGACCGGGCATGGATTTTAATAAAAGTAAGTAATAATTGTTAACTTTTTTTTATAGTAAAAAAACAATAAAAAAGTAGAATTATTTTTTTATTTTAAAAAAAAATAAGAATATTTTTCAATGACAACCGAAAAAGGAAAATGAGTATAGATTTGAATGAAAGATAGACTATTATTTCTTAAGTTATTACAAAATTCCAAAAAATCTCTTTCAATTGAGACGAACAAAGTATATATTGGTAAGTAAAATTACATTATATGATGTTAAAATATGCTTGAGCCATCAGCATTATAACGAATATATCGAGCTGAGTTAGAATAATTAAAGAATTCGTAAGTTGGGACATGAAGTGGAGACAAGAACAAGAAAACTACTCAACCAAAACTAAAATTATATTCCCTCGGTACCCAAGCTAAATTGTTTTATTTAATTTAAACACAAAATTTTAGGTATTGAATAATTAATAAATAATGAAAAAATATATTAATAAAAATAACTATAGATTAATATTAAAATAACTAAATAATTTAATTAAAATAAAAAAATTTTAAATTTTAAATTTTAAAATGTGATTAAAGTGTTAATTATATATATATTTTTAAAAAAATTATAGTATAAAAAAATTAAGTAAATAACTTCTTCTCAAATTTCATAAACAATCTATAGTTTGCGTCGTGTTTGATACAAATTTAAAGAATATTGATAGTAGATAAAAAATACGGATAAAAGATTTTTTTACCTTTGTAAGTGTATTAGTATAAAAAATAGTGACAATTGTATAATAATAATAAAAAAATAAAAAAAATTATAATAATATAATTATTTATAAAAATAAAATTATTATTTTGAAACAAACAAAAATAATAAAAAAAATTATTGTTTTAAGAAAGGAGGAGTAATTTCTTTCTAATCCAACAGCACATGTGCTGACACATGATCTGCCATTTCTCACTCTAATTTAATGAATTGCATATATGTACACACTCTTCTATACATTATTATTTATTTAAAAAAATAAAAATCAGACACAAACACATATACGACCTGAAGTTGTATGCTCAACAGGCAACAAACATATATATATATTAGAACACGTTCTTGCACGGTATACCGCGCGACTATACTATAATGTAATGTAGTGAAACATTATTTATTTGAAATATAAACTGTAAAACAAAAATGTAATCGAATTATTTGTGCTCAGGTCGGTGGGTCAGGTCGTTTGGTTTGGTCGGTTGGTCTGGTCGGTTGGTTAGCGAACGGATGGGCAGGTCGGAAGGTCCTCGGTCGGTTGGTCTGGTCGGTTGGTCCTCGGTCGGATGGTTAGCGGTCGGACAGACAGGTCTGATGGTCACCATATCGGACAGACAGGTCTGATGGTCACCATATCGGACAGACAGGTCTGATGGTCTGCGGTCGGATAAAGTAGGTCGGCTGGTCTGCGGTCGGATAGGCAAGTCAGCTGGTCCGCAGGTGGATAGACAAGTTGCTTTGTGGGTGCGGCCAAGGAGTCTTTTGGTCTAGCGATTGGTCTCTGGATTGGTCGGTTGGGCTATTTGAGTTCTGGAACTGGTGGAGGCGTTTGGCGAGGCGGTTGATGTAACCGACCAGATGACGTTTCAAAATGTTTCGTCTTGGGCGGTTGACGGCGGTTGCTGGCGACGGTTCCAAAACGTCTTTTCAAGCCAGTACAAATGTAGGGTAAGAGCTAAATTGTCATTTTCGAAATGAGGGGCATGATAGACTTTTCAAGTGACAAATCCATACAATCTCGTGTATAACAACATACAAGTTTTAATACCCAAATCAACTAATACATAAGGTCTTGTTACGTACAAAAATAATAATAATAATAATAATAATAATGGTAGCAGTGTCTTGAAGGAAGGTAGGACCCGAAGTCGGGTAGAAAAGTAGAAAAATTTGCGCTCAGGTCGGTTGGTCAGGTCGGGAGGTCCTCAAGATGGAAAGTCATCAGGAAGGAAAGTCCTCAGGTCGGTTGGTTAGCGGGTTGGAAAGTCTGTAGGTCTGATGGTCAGTAGGTCGGACAGACAGGTCTGATGGTCAGCAGGTCGGACAGACAAGTCGGAAGGTCTGCGCTCGGGTAGTCAGGTCGGTTGGTTAGTGGGTCGGATGGTCCATAGGTCGGAAATTCTGCAGGTCTGATGGTCAGCAGGTCAGACAAACAAGTCTGATGGTCTGCGGTCGGATAAAGTAGGTCGGCTGGTCTAGCAATTGGTCTCTTGAATGGTCGGTCAGGCCAGTTGAGTTCTGGAACTGGTGGAAGCGTTTGGCGAGACGGTGCAAGACACGTGTCAATAAAGGAGGAATTAGTGGGCAGTTGATGTAACCGACCAGACGACGTTTCAAAACGTTTCGTCTTGGGCGGTTGACGGCGGTTGCTGGCGACGGTTCCAAAACGTCTTTTCAAGTAATATTTAAGGATTTAGATTTTTTATTTTCAAGCATCTTCAATCAACTTCAACAAAGCAAAGTCAGATTTGGGGATCACCACTTTAAATTTTCAGAATTTTAATTTTCCAATCAATTTCCTTTTATGTACCGTACAGTGTTTAGAGATTCCTAATCTCAGACGCTAAAAAATCAAATTTAAGGTGTTACGTACAAAAATAATAATAATAATAAAAATAATAGTAGCAGGGTCTTGAACGAAGGTAGGACACGAAGTCGGGCAGAAAAGTAGAAAAATTTGCGTTGAGGTCGGTTGGTCAGGTCGGGAAGTCCTCAGGTCGGGAGGTCCTCAAGACGGAAAGTCCTCAGGTCGGGACGTCCTCAGGTCGGGAGTTCCTCAAGACGGAAAGTGGTCAGGTCGGGAAGTCCTCAGATCGGGAGGTCCTCAAGACAGAAAGTGGTCAGGACGGGAAGTCCTCAAGTCGGGAGGTCGTCAAGACGAAAAGTGATCAGGTCGGGAATTCCTTAGGTCGGGAAGTCTGCAGGTCTGATGGTCAGCAGGTCGGACAGACGGATGGTCAGCAGGTCCGACATACAGGTCGGATAAAGTAGGTCGGCTGGTCTAGCAATTGGTCTCTGGAATGGTCGGTCGGGCAAGTTGTGTTTGGGAACTGGTGGAAGCGTTTGGCGAGACGGTGCAAGGCACGTGTCAATAAAGGAGGAATTAGAGATTCCTAATCTCAAGCGCTAATTAATCAAATTTAAGGATATTTTCCATATCTTTGAATTTTACTTTTTGTCTGTTGAAAAAATACATCAACACTTTATTTTCAGATTTTACTTTTTATTGTTGAAAAATTGCATCAACAACAATAAAAAATAAAATAGAGGAGAATGTAGATGAAATGTTTGAGATAAGAAGGGTGACCCTGCATCTCTTTATGAGTTTTGAAATGTCAAAAATAGCAAGGATATTTCAACTTTGATAATTGTTACGCACAAAAAATAATAATAATAATAATAATAATAATAATAATAATAATAATAAGGATAGCAGGATCTTAAAGGAAGATAGACATGAAATCGGGTGGAAAAGGAAAAAAAAAATTGCGCTCAGGTCGGTTGGTCAGGTCGGTTGGTCCTCGGTCGGATGGTCAGGTGCGTTGGTTAGCAGTCAGATAGGCAGGTCGGAAGATCCTCGGTCGGTTGGTCTGGTCGGTTGGTCCTCGGTCGGATGATCAGGTCGGTTGGTTAGCGGTCGGATTGGCAGGTCGGAAGGTCCTCGGTCGGTCGGTTGGTATGGTCGGTTGGTCCTCGGTCGGATAGTTAGCGGTCGGACAGACAGGTCTGATGGTCAGCAGGTCGGACAGACAGGTCTGATGGTCTGCGGTCAGATAAAGTAGGTCGGCTGGTCTGCGGTCGGATAGGCAAGTCAGCTGGTCCGCAGGCGGATAGACAGGTCGCTTGGTTGGTGCGGCCAAGAAGTCTTTTGGTGTAGCGATTGGTCTCTGGATTGGTCGGTTGGGCTATTTGAATTCTGGAACTGGTGGAGGCATTTGGCGAGGCGGTTGATGTAACCGACCAAACGATGTTTCAAAATGTTTCGTCTTGGGCGGTTGACGGTGGTTGCTGACGACGGTTCCAAAACGTCTTTTCAAGCCAGTACAAAGGTAGATTAATGGCTAAATTGTCATTTTTGAAATGAGGGGTTGGATAGACTTTTCAAGTGGCAGATCCGTACAATCTCGTCTTTTCAAGCCAGTACAAAGATAGGTTAAGGACTAAATTGTCATTTTTTAAATGAGGGGTAGAATAGACTTTTCACGTGGCAAATCCGTACAAAACTCGTATTTATAAGATATAATATAACGACTATAATATCTGCAAAAAACAGGAGAGCATATACAGTCCACCCAACTATGGTCTCAAAATCCTAACATAAATCTTATTGCACCCAAACCTCCAAAAACCCAAAAATAAAAATAAAACTAAAATTATAGAGGTTTTAGGCAGAGGGCTAAGTGATGAAAATGAAACCAAATGTATGATAAAAGGGTTAAACCCAAAAACTTACACTACATTCATCTGAATTAATAGATCGTACCGAAACAGATCAAAATCATCTTACCTCACCTGCGTCGGCGAGCACATCAATCCCGACGCGTCGGCCCCGACGACCGCCAGATCACAGACGGCACAAACCCGGCCATGCTGAGCCGGGACGAAGTGAGTCGTGCAGTACGGGCACGTGACGTCTTTTTGCCCTCGATAAATCGGGACATACGTCGCCCCACACACGACGAACGGATTCCTGAAGTCGTAGTTCAGCTCGGCGGCGTCTTTCATGTTCCTCTCGGCAGCCTGCAGAACCTGTCGAGCAGTTTTCGCCTGGTTCTCGTTGCTCGGATTCGTCTCGAGGAGCCGCCGCGCGAAATTGGCGGCAGTGCTCAGATTCTTCGCCTTGAAGCAAACCGTCATCGCGTTCTGCAACGCGAGCCTTACGTGCGGGAGCTGGAGGTTGCAGTGGGTGAAATACGCAGCGAGTTCCTGCTGTCGAGCCGGGTCGTTTTTCAGTTCTCGTCGTTTCAGCTCCATCTTCAACCCGAGAACGTATTCTTTCACGATGATGATCAGCTCCTTGACCTCGTCGACTTCCCGTCGCGTTTCGACCACGATTAGCGGAATCGTGTGAAGAATCAGCAGGAAGTTTCGGAGAGCTTCGGAGAACTTTCCGGCAGTCGTCGTCTTGTAGCCGGCCTTGAGTTTCTCTTCCAGCTGCGAGAAATTGTAGACGAGAGCCGGCGGGCGTCGAACGTTCGGGCTTTCCGACTCGCTCCAACCCCTCTCGACGGGTAACGAGATCACGGGCGCAGAAGTAAAGGCGCTGAAGAAACTGTGGCTGCCCAAGTGAACATCGACGAAGAGCGGCTTCAGCGGCGCGAAATTGCGTATTCCGAGCTGACGACTCAGTAGCCGCATAGCTGTATCGAAGTTTCCGGCAGCCGCGTGCTCGGCGGCGAGAGACGATCGCTGGACCCATATCTGGGTTACAGGCATGCCTGGTGTAGGGGCAACGAATACAGAAGGGCCTTTTGTAGATGCTCGAGGGGTTTCGGTGTCGACGTGAAGGTCGAGATCCTCGAGATCCCATCCGCCTTCATCATCATTCTCGTCAGCGACATCGACGTCAAGCACGGTAGTAATGTCCCCGTTATTTAAGTTGTCGACCTCTCCGATATCCAAAGATTCTCCCCAATCGGCGTCGGCAGCCTCTTCGTAGTATTCGTGTTCATCCTTACCAGTATCGTCGAGGCCGCCCTCGAAAATGCCTTTACTGACCATCAACAAAGGCCAATCTCCGGCGCACAGCACCGGACGAGGCGGTATTAAAAGAGAAGCTTTTCTTCCTTCCGGAAGAGTCGGAACATTTTCCCCTAATTCGGAAGATAAACGCTCGGCTATATCACGGAAACCGTGGACAGCAGCCGTAATATAAGCCAGGGGTAAGTGGCCAACGTTCTCCAGAATCTTAACTCGCTCCTGCACGTCGCCGAGATACAATGCGTCGTGAAACTGGCCCATAACATCATTTTTCACTTCGGCGATTTTCATCATCTTCGACAATTTGTCGAGGTTACCAGTTATCAAGTAATGAAAAGATAGCCTCTCGAAGTTCTTCGTTTTCTGGTATGCATATTCAACAATCCCGGCATTTCCCTGCCGAAGAGCCTCCACTCCTAGCCTGTACCAGTAATCTTTCTCGTCGATATTTTTAGCAGCTTCCAGAGCCTTCTCAATGTTACCGCTTTCGAGGGCTAGGTTGAAACGAGTTCTTTCATCCTTGACGAAATAAAGCGCAACCTGTGGGAAGCCCTTCTGCTGAAGATATGCGATCATGGCCTGCCCGCACAGTTCGGAATTTTTTATCATTCCCATAACTTGATCGAATCTTTTCTTCAGCAGGGATAGCTTGAATATATATTCGGTTGAGTTGACGATAATAGGGCGATTCTTCCCGTCTCGGTCCAAGCAAAAGATTGTGCTCCCGTATATTTTCGATATGTATACTGGAATGTCGAGCGTTTTAATGATTCCACAGTCCCCGTTAGGAAGACAGTACTTAATGTGAGTCAGTGTGGTGTAGATAAAAACGCCATTATCATCCCAAGCTCCACTCTTGACTCGAATGGTCTCATGGAGGGTGCAACGGTGCACGAGCTTTTTATCAGCAATAACAATCGAGTGCTTGCTCAGTAAAGCAACAGACTCCATATCATGAGACCAAACGACATACCTAACAAAAGGCGTCTGGAGATCCCCAAGAATAATCCTTTGTTGGAGATCGAAGATGACAACCTTGTCCTCAGACCTGCAGAGAAGATTTCCCGTACCCGCGTAGAACACAGCATCAGTAGCAATAGGCAAAACACTCTTTTTCACAATTTCATTTTTCAGGTTCTTGACCAGAATCTGATTGCTTGTCTTCTCGAGCACAGCAAACCTATTTCGAGCCACAAACACTGCCGATCCCCCAACACCTCTTTTTGCCTCTTGTGCTACATCCGATCTTCCATAGCTATCTTTTGGAATAACATAGAGTTCATACGAGCCCCCATCCACATCCGAACAAATTAAAACAGCATTCTCAGAAGGACTATAAGAAAGAGTTCGGGGTCCTTGATTCAAGCCACTAGAACCTGGACGACGTATCTGTATTAGCTGAGTATCTTTCAGAGTTGAATACTCAAAGGAACGGATAAAGCGATCCTTAACGTAGATGACTGAATCACCACTGACAGAAAATGCAGGGCGTTCCCTCTCCAACTTAAAAACAATCATGCCACTGTCATGGCCGGCAGCCAAAAGATTCATCTCAGGATGGGCAACAAGAATCCAGAACCTGTCATGCTCCCTACGGAAGGTCTGTAAGCCAGTCCTTTTCGTTGCATCCCAAACTCTAATACTCTTATCTTCCGAATTTGATACAATTATGTCCTGCTTTGTGTGGAACAGAACACAAGAAACATTGTTCATATGTCCCCTCAACGTGTCCACCTCCCACGCCTTTGTATCTGAGAATGTGCAATCTACTATCAGCCATTTTAAATTTAAATCTAGAAGCTTTACATACTAGAGAGAGAAACAGCAATATACACTCTGGGGTTAATTTTGGGCACAACATAAATCATAATAATCAGAATGCTTATAACTTCAACAACAATTTACAAAAAAAAGTCCAAGCAAAGAGTATAACTAACACAAGATTTCGGGAGACAAGACACAACTCTATTCGATAGTAACTGATTTTTCTGTTTAGCATTATCAAGAGTAAACTTTCTGAACTATATAATGGAATTTCTACATACAGTTTTCATGGAAGTCATTATTCCTCACTAACAAGATATAATATAGCTCAAGAATGAATTGAAATTCAAAGTAGCATACCATTCATGCGCCATATTTTCACTTGCCGGTCATCTGCACCAGAAACAATCAGAGGGAGAGTTGGGTGAAAAGAAGCCCAATTAACACCCCGATCGTGACCCTCCAAAACATATTTCACAACAGCATCAACCCCACCAAAGAGATCTGTATTCATTTGAGGCAATCTCAGAATATCATCTGCAGGAGATACAGTTTTCTTTCTCAAGGCACCAATATCCCAAACACGAACAGTCTGATCCAAAGAAGCTGAAACAACCAAATCTTCCTTGGGGTGAAATGAGGCACACATGACATAGTGGTTGTGCCCAGTTAGCACAGAGATGCAAGTTCTCGACTGCCAATTCCATATTCTAATTGTCTGGTCATCACTGGCACTTACTATCCAGGGATACTCGTGATGAAACTGAACTGTTCGAATATAGTCAAGATGGCCAAGAAGTGTAAACAGGCATCTGTGCAATTTGTAATTCCATACCTTGATTTTGTAATCGTCACCTAGATAAACCAAATGTGTACAAAAATCAGAACTATACAGTTCAATATCAATCTACAAATAAACACACCACGATGTTATCCAATTATATGTTGCCTTTCGTAACTTAAATGAACTGGTACTCTCTCTAAAGAAAATTTTCAAGAAAATATTAGGATGGTTTAGATGATTTTTTTTTTAATATGACTTAAAAATCTATAATATACCAAATCAAACTAGGACAATTGCTCATTACCATCACTATAATCTGAAATGGATAGTGATCACCTATTCTAACACTGAAATTGATGTTTCACCAAAAAATTGTACCAAACATTCAACCAACAAGCAATGATCATCAACAGAAAGGAATTTACATGCTACCAAACGCAATTTAATAATTATAAATCCATCTATAAATTCTTTTACATCTATGGCTCCTCACCTTTGTTTAATTTAATCAAATACAAACTCAACATGCACAAATTGAAACATACAACCTTGAGAACACTATAATTCGGCCGAAAATTTGCTTTGATTAAATGACAAAAACTTGCATTGATGAATCTGAATTGCTAACTAGCATTAGAAAACTATGTATAACTCTGATCCTTCAAGTGTGATCACCAAATCAAAGTTCCATAAATCGAAGGTACTAGTCCGATTGTATGATCAAATCAACCACCGAAAATTAACAAAGCGACCAGGAGATCCAATACCTAAGACACTACGAACGCCCCCAAACACCAAATAAAGCTAAAAGGCAAGCAAAGATCGCGTTCCAGATACAGAATTGACAAAATTCAAATTAATCGAACCTCCGGAAACAAAAAGTGGCTGCGAGTGATGAAAATGTACGCCTCGAACGGGCCCATCGTGCTCATCGAATCGATCAATGAGAGTGCCCATTCGGTAGTCCCATAGCTGGATGACGCCGCTGTGAAGACTCGCCAGGATCCATGGCCTCTTGCTGTGGAAGCTCAGACCTTTCACTCTATTGCTCTTCGTCTCAAATTTCGTCAACATTTCTGAACCGCGCTCAGGATAACAAAGGAGAATTCGAGAGATTTGAATCCAGCTTCACTATTGAATTCAAAGCCCCAAATCGAGAGTCGCGGTACGAACCGAATCTTAGATCTGTGGGGAACAAATTGGGGACTTCGTAACAACGGTGGTTGGGTGTGGGAAAGGAAGAAGGCGAAGGGAAGGAAAAGAAGGAAGGTGCTGTAGTTAAGGAAGCGCGTCGATTGCACGCGCTTGCAGCCGGATCTGTTACTGTACAATACTATACTTGGATCCGTCTCGTGGAGTAATTGTTACTCCCTCGTACCATTTAATATGGATGTAAATAAAAAGTGTATTAGTAAAAATAATTATTATTTAGTAAAAGTAATTATAGAGTAAAATTATAAAATTTAAAATTTATAATGCTATTAAAGTACATAATTATATTTCTAAAAATAGAAATGACAAATTATGTGGGATGGACGAAAATAAAAAATAGGAACAAATTATGTGGGATAGAAGGAGTATTAAAATTAAGATGTGTTTACGTCTATTTTTTTTTCAATATTATGTTAAATCTTAATATTTTTATGGGTAAATTATATAATACTTCTGATGTTTTAAGTAAAAAAATACAAAAATGCTCTATATATTATTTATGGTGTGAAACCTCCTAAATTTGCATGAAATATTCTCTTTGTCCAAAATCGATATTTTATTTTAAATAACGACCTAAATCACGGCAAATTTTATAAGAAAATATACTCCCTCCGTGCAGTGAAATTAGTCGCATTTCATTTTGGCGCGGAGTTTAAAAAAATTTGATTTATATAGTTAATTAGTTAATGCAATATATGTAATAAAATGTTATTTTAATTATTTTTATTTGATAAAATATTGAAATAAAAGTTGAAATATTTTTTTTATTTAAATTTAATGCTTTATTTATTGAATTTTTTTATTTAAAAAAAATATTATTATATTGATTGTAAATTATGCAATTAGATAAAAAAAAAAATAATTCTAATAATTCTAATACTAAAATTTTTAATATAAACAAAACATCAAAATTTTCAAATTTAATTGTTGGTAGGGATAGTTCGATATTACATACCAAAATTTATAACGCATATTTTATATATCGTACCTGTTGGATCATAAAATTCGGAGATTCCAAGACTGTTCGTCGATTATTCGATGTGGGTTTTGAAAGTACTCCAAATAGTCTGTCCATCGCCGGATTGGGGGCGGCTCCTTCGGTGGAGAGCCTGTACAGCTTCGATCTTAAACGAGGCTTCGAGCCTAAACGACCGATTTCAATGTATTTAAACTAACATCTACTAAACCTCGGATAAATCTACTTGAAAGCAGGATAAAAATATGCTAGAAATATAAAAGCATGTAATTTGAATTAAAATGCATAAATAGGAACTAAAACATGAAAAATAAACATAGAAATATACGAGTTCATCTTCTTGTGCGTGTGTGGTGTATTTTTTCCTAGTTTTAATCATAAGATAGAATAACCGTCTATTCCCACTAAAAAGAGCAGTTCCAATTATTCATCCACCACTCTCAACCGTCTGGTAATCCCCTTCCATCATCTCTCAACCACCTGGTAATCTCCTTCCGTCAACCATCTGGTAACCTTCTTCCATCAACCACCGGGCAACCTTTTTTCATCAACCACCTCGTAATCTCATTTCATCAGCTCCCAACCATTTTCATTGCCTCTGGATCGGGTTCCACTTGCTCTGAACTTCCTCAATTGCCTCTAGACCAGATCTGTCGCTTACTCCGACTTGTTTCCATCGTACTCCTAGCCGGTCCACGGGGATGTGTCCCTAATAGCCTCGAGTTACATGGAATCTTCGATTTTTGTCTTGTTGGCTTGTTCCATAGAGCTTTTTGAATAAAGTATGAAAGTACATAGGCCCTCCACTAATGTTCAGTATGAAATTATTAACCCAGGGCAAATTGAAGTAGTTATCTCATGATCTATGAAAGTTGTTGTCTTCTATCTTGTGGAGGTAACCTTCCTCTACTTTGTGGAAGCACCTACAGTCCAATAAAAGTAGTTGTTTTCAATCCAATAGAGACAACAATTTCTAACCTTATGGAAACATTGTTCCGGGATGGAGGCGCCATAGCCCTAAGGTCCACGGAGGCTGCTGCTTTTGATCCTGTGGAAGCACCACAATCCAATGAAAGTTGTTGCCTTCGGCTCTGTAGAGGCAGCAGTCTTTGGCTCAAAGGCATGAAGTTCCATTGCTGTTCAGCAGCTCCGTGGCTAAGGAGTTATGGCTCCACTTTTATCTTTAAGCCTGCTTCACGTTCGGATGCTTTTGGACCCATGTTTAACAGTACCAAAATTTTTAGTATGTTATTTTCTCGGAATGAGATATTGTACCAATAATTTGATATACCGAATTTATAGATGAAAAAATACTGAATTACAGAAATAACATCTACCGTACTAAAAAATATCGAAAATGCCAAATTTCAGTATACCGATTTTTTTTGTATGGTATCGATATTTTTTTTAATATACCAAAAAAATTGGTGTAGTATACAATATAGTTCGATATTATCTGAATACAATATTGAGTTATTTCTAATCGAATTACATGTATGGTATCAGAATATAATATTTTACGTTGAAATATAAAAATTAAAAATAATTATATAATTTTAAGAATATATTAGAAAATTAATTATACCAACAATGCTAAAAGTATATGCAATTTTCGTACTGAAAATGTTTGGTACGGGATCATATCATATAAAAATTTACGATATACAATAATTTTAATACTTTAGTATGTTTTCATGCATTATTTTGAGCAAATTGATATTTTTCACTCTTAATAACAGTGATAAATGATTTTTTAATGAAATATAAAAATCAAATTTTAAATCAAATCTCATTATTAACTAATTTTCAATCGTAAAATATCAAATCAAATATTTTTTATACTATATTAAAAAATTAATTAAAAATTTTAGACATCACATAAACACTTATTTATATCATATTGAATATTTATTCATTTTTATTATTCAAAATTCTTGCTCTACTTTTAAATTTATAATAAAACAAACAATGAAAGTTAAGGGTATTAATAATTAAATAAAATATAATTAAATTTGTAATTGTGATTAGTATTTACTAATTATTATTATATTAGGAAATGTGACTAATTTTGCGGGACAACCAAAAGAGGAAAGTTGTACTAATTTCACGGGACGGAGGGAGTATATATATAAAATATTTTAAATAATTTTTTTAATAAAAATAAATCAATAAATATTTGATCAATCATTTATTTTTATAGATTTTATAAAATCGCAAAAATTTACTCTTTTTTTAACTTTTCACATTATTTTTCATGGGTAAAATAAATATTACATTACTTTATTACACTATATATCTATAAAATACTAATTTACTTTAATCCGTGAGCAAAAATCAAACAAAAAACTTACTAGAGGACGAAGTGAGTAGTATTTTATGTTATTGTTGATTTTTTAAAAAATAAATAAAATATATTCTCTCCGTCTGCCTCTAAGGATCACATTTACATTTTGCGTCATTGTATATAACATGAAAAATATCCTTATATTTGTATAATTATTTTTGTACAAAATGTCCTTCTATTAATATTATAAGACGCTAGTAAAAGTATTTTTGTTATTTTTTTTATAATTTATACTATATTTTGATATAATAATTAATATTCAAATATCAATACTTAAAAAGTAAACATGACCCTTAGAATTAGAAGAAGGTAGTATATAATATATATTGTATTAAAAAAAATAGTGTGACGATATTCCACAAAACACGGGAAATATCATCTATATAAGACATGACAATGCCATTTATAATACATTTCTGAAAAAAATGGCAAAATGTCCTCTTAACTATTAAAAATTTAAAAAGATTTAAAAAAATAAAAAAAATAAAAAGAAAATTTGCATCCATATATCCATATATTATATATATACATATCCATATGTTTTCTATATGTTCTGTTAAAATATATTTAGAAATAATATATTAAATTTATGATAGTTATCTTATTTAAAAGATTCATAGGATTCTTGTCTTATTTAGATGATTTGTATATCACTATAAATATGCACGTATTCTTATTATTTAAATAGAGAATTTCATTTTTATATTCCAACACTAGCAAGGCATAATGATCCTTAAGACCGTCACTATTTTCTAGACATCATATGATACTTTAGTATACAAAACCCTTTTGAACTTTGCAAAATAGTCCCTGTCAATTTGCTTCAAAACTTCTGACTCCGTCTATATGAGAGAATCTATTATATGATAGCAGGGGTACAAGTGCGAGGTACAAATTCATTCTCTTTTAAGTTCATAAGTATCGAAGATTTTGAAGTGTTCAACATCCTAGTGAAATTTGAGTAACTATGTATAAGATAGTAGTAATTTTTTACCTTATAATATTTATGAGAATCGCTTAACCTAAAAATACTAAGCAAACAAATTTAAACACATATTTTAATTTTTTCTTATCATATATGTTAATTTCTGTTTTAAAAATACCAATAAAATCGTTCATGCAAAAACTTCATTACATCAAGTACTGTCGGGGCCGGCTCAAACTTTTTCAAGGCCTTGAGCAAAAATAGATTTTAGGCCCTATAAATATATGGTTAAATGTATTTTTCAAAATAATATCACTAACGCTATCGGCAATCTGGTAGTGTCGATTTGGGAGAAGAAGATGAAAGACGGTCTGGTGGCGCTTCAGGTGGTGTTCAGAAGTCTGAAAAGCGAAAGAGACTGAGAAAATGAGAAAGAGAGAGAGGAGCAGATTTGGTCTAGATGGTGGCGCGGCACAGTGAAACTTGAAGGAGAAAGATTTAGATGGCGATTAGATTTGAAAAAACAAGATGCAGCATGGTTAGGGAGAAAAAATGAGAAAATATATAATTAGAACTCAAAATTTAATTTTAAAATTAAAATTGAATTGAATAATTCATAAGAAAAAAAAAACTAAAAATTGATAATTTACTTTTAAAATTTAAAATTCAATAATAATAATAATAGGATTATATTTTTAACATATGACCCTCTTTTTACTTAGGGATTCTGACCAATTTCTCATCCCGCTTCTTTCTCATCCCGCTTCTGCTAAAAGCCTGAGTACCGTATCACTAACCAAATATGTGAATTGTTCCAAAACAAAGATAGCATTATTTAGTAAAGG